GCCTCCCAGAGAGCTAGGATTACAGGCGTGAGTCACCGCGCCCGGCCTCATATTTGTTTATACTTAATTTCTTCTTCCAAACCTTTCCACAAAATGTGGTAAAATGCAATATTCACCTGCCTGCTTGACATCTCCACTTAGATGACCAACAGACATCTCAAACATACCCAAAACATAGCTCCATTCTTTCTCCATAAACCCCACTCCTCCTGCAGTATTCACTCTCTCAGTAATGGCTATCCTATTCTTCTACTTGGCAAAACAAAAATCCTGATTTCCCTCCCTTTCATAGCCCATATTCCACTGGTCAACTCATGCTGTTCTCTCCCCACCTCCACTGCTGCCATAATACTGTGATCCACCATCATCTCTTGTCTGGATTATTAAAATAGCCTCATCTACTTTATTCTTTTTCGGCTCCACTATTCTTCCAACACACTAGGCATGTTCCCATCTACTGGTCTATGTACTTGCTTGTTGTTCCTTTGCCTGGAATAGTCTTTCCACAGATAGCCTAATGGCTCAGTCCCTCATCTCTTTTAGGTCTTCATTCAAGCATCTTCTGCTCTAATAAACTTTTAGCAGACTACCTTACTTAAAACTGCAATTCCCTAACCCTCACTATCACCTTTTTCTGCTTTATTCTTCCCCATGGCACTTGTCACTATTCAACATATTATCCATTTTACTTGTTTTTTTGGTTTCTTTATCTCCTCCTCTAGAATATGCTCCATAAAGGCCAGGATTTCTATTTTGTTCAATGGTGATTTCCCACTTTCTAAAACAAGGGCTGGGCATATAGTTGATACTTAATATTTGCTCACTGTATACATGCAGGAATGAATTTTCTGAGTATTTTACCAAGTGAAGTCTTTTTCCCCCACTCATGGAGGCCAAGAACTGTATTTTCTATTTCCTTTAGAGTCCATTTAGTTCCTAGTATAGTGAAGTATAACCAAGTATTACATGTCTGTGGAATGCACATATCCAAAGGGAACTATTTACTTTTTATATGTTTGATAAGGTCCATATGCTCTTGAAAGATTTTCATTTGTTACAAAGCAAAAACTAAATTTAGGTTGGTTGGTTTCTGGAATCCTTAGAAATAATAAAAATGTGATGAATATAAATTCACCAAAGATTTTCACACTTAATGAATCATATTCTTTATGGATTACTAACAAATTTGAAATGACAAAAGAATGACTAAGATTCCTGGAAGAGATAAAGCTATCCACATTTTTATGAGATTATGATAAATGCCCTACAGTACCATTAGAAGTCAGCTAGAGTAAGTAGATAACCATTTCAAATAAATGAACATTAACTTACTTTGACCAAAACACAAAATAGAATGCATTGATCATTTATTAAAAGTTGTTTTTTAATCAAACACTCAGTAAAAGGAATAGTAGTTATTAACAAGAAAGGAAAAAGGTCCAATATAATGTAAATCAGTATTAAGTAAAAATAATTTCATTTTTATTTATATTGCTTTTTATTACAGTAGGTGACTTTTACTTTGTAAATATGCTGCAAATCCTAAAATGTTATTATTCTTAGTTCCAATAACTCTCCTACAAGAATACAATGTCCCAAGTTTAGAGAAAAACTCATATTCCTGTTTTCAAAGCAAAATGTACTGCTATGATAAAAACAACAATAACGAAAAAACCCTAAAACTGTTAGATAAAATGAGGTTTGTTCTACAAGATGGTTAATGTGATGTTCATGATCAAATTGTTCTACAAATAATTTATCATGTAAGGGGAATACTCCCTCTTCGATATAGTTGCTAGAATATCTTTTGTGTAATAATTATATAGTGATGCTGGTTTTATTTTATACAGTTTTACAATGACAGATTTTCACATATTGAAAAGGTGTGAGAAACTTAAAAATAAGCAGGAAATTCAAAACATAGTCTATGAATGTGAGACAGTCTAATAATGCTTTTAAATATATTTTACAAAATATTTTCACATATTTTATCAGCAGAACATTTATAAACCTTCTTCTAACTTAAGATTATTCCTTGTTTTTAGTAGGTCTCATTAATGATACAAATTTACCTTAAACACTGTTCATTGAATTATCTCACGCTGACGTGCAAGGTGACCTTATCTCTTACACATATCATAACATGCCCCAACTTGCCCATTTTTAGATATCCTTGCCTACCAATTATTGCTATGGACTACATCTGCTAGTAGGATTCTCAGCTTTTGTGTAGTTTATGTGTAGCTCATAGTCCCTGTGCTTCAACAATATGGGATAAATTAGTATCCACCATACCAATTTGCCCCCAAAGTGCTATTGTTCTTCAAACATATCCTGAGACAAAATGCTAAAAAGTACTAGACTGTTGAATTTATGTGATGAATTCATCTAGCAGATAAGCACAAGCTTTAGGAAGTTTATTCTGTCCATCATTTAAGTTCATCACTTTAGCCTCATCTTTGTTTTGCAGCCAGATGTTTGATTTTCACATCAAAGTAACACCAAGTCCTGTCCTTTCTATCCTGAAAAGAGTTGTTGCATTCAACATCTCTGTGCTATGTTTGTTTTCAACAGTATCATATTACACTAAAAATCTTCCTTAAAAATCATTTCTTTAGACAATCAGTTTTAAAAAGGATAAAAGGAATTCTGCAAGTAAGAAATTTTTCAGTTCTAAATTTCCTTTCTGAAATGTAATATATTACAGTACATCAGTATGTAGAGTTGCCTCAGTAAAGCAATTTAAGAACTTTAAAACTTCCCAGAATTGGAAATAAAGGAGTCCAAGTGGTTGCAAAATTTTGTAAGGTCTGAAATTCCCCCCAAAACCTTCCTCACTTCTTGCCAAAAAATTTTTTAATTATGTTGATATGGTCACATGATAAAACCTGGTTTATTCTTGCATTAGTCTTGAAAATAATGAATATATAAGAAATATACATTTTAAGATAACAAGCTTAGACAAATCAGGTTACTAGTCTTTAGTTGAGAATCAAGTTTACCTCTAGCAAAGAGAAAAGTCTGCAGATTTTCCCTATCAACAGTATAGTTCCTGGGCTCTACAGTATTCAGAAGGCAGAATAAATTCAATTATAGAGCTAGTACATATTCACTCAGAAAGCTTCATATTTTAGTGGCACACAGTTCATAAGTTACTATGTTTTTTTTTTTTTTAACATACAT